ACGGTATAATTAGGGTCTGTTGTTATAGATGATAGTAGCTGTTTCTTATAAGAATCACTAAAGCTTTTAACATCGGGCAGATTTCGTAGATCTGTTGGAACATTATTCCAACATTTTGCCCCCAAGTATTGAAAGTTTTTATGTGATGTTGATCTATTGACATAAAGGTTGCAGCTTTCGCCGCTCCTACTACCTCCTGATATGTAACTAAATTTGTTCATAAAGTTTGTAGGACAATTGTCATGGATGATTCTAAACATATAATTTGACAGATGGAGTTGTCGTCTAAGATGGAGTGGTAACCATTTCATGTCTCTATAAACATTAAGGCTGCTCTCTGTTTTTGGAACGTTGAGAGCTATTTTGGCTACCTTTTTGTACAGAGTGTCAAGTTCAGCAAGTTTTGTCTTGCCAGCTCTACAATAGATCGTGTCTAAATAATCGAATTGTGGCAACATGAGTGCATTGGCAAACATTTTCCTATATTTAATGGGTAGCAGTGCTTTACTTCTATACATGGCACCAATTCTCTTCATGACCTTCCTAATAATATAATCTACATGGCTTTTGAAGTTTAATTTACTATCTAGAATGAGGCCAAGATATTTTGTCTCTTTGCACTCCTTGATTGTGAAAGTTACCTCATTACAATCAATGGTTATTTCATCATGTTGGTCAACAGAATCAAACAATAGGAATTCAGTCTTCTTTTCATTGAGTGATAATTTATTAACACTGAGCCATTTAAAGATTGTCATAAGTTCTATTTTCATGTTTATAAATGTGCTTCTGCAGGTTTGATCAAAGAATAGTGCACCATCATCTGCAAATAGAAAGGGCTTAGATAGGTTACAGGCATAAATGATGTCATTTATGAAGATACTGAATAATATAGGCCCAATGATGCTTCCTTGTGGTACACCACTCAGAACTTCTAAAAATGAGCTTAGATTGCCATTGATCCTAGTGCATTGATATCTACAAGATAAGAAGTTCTTAAACCAGGTTAAAGCAATGCCACCAATTCCATAATATGCCAATTTTTGAAGCAATATTTCATGATTCACTGACACTGTGTCAAAGGCCTTCTTAAGATCAAGAAAGATGATTCCTGGTTTATAAGACTTAGATTTACTCATATATATTTCGTCCATCAGATCGTACATCAGATAAGTTGTGGAGTGATTTTTCCGAAAGCCATATTGATGCCGGATGAAAAGTTTGTTCTCTTCCATGTAATCAGTGAGTTGCTTGCCGACAAAGTATTCTATAAGTTTTCCTACAAGTGGAAGGATGGATATTGGCCTGTAATTATTAGGATCATCTTTCATTCCTGCCTTATGGATGGGAGTTACTCTAGCTTTTTTACAAAGGGTTGGTACAACACCTGTATTAAGGCTCAGATTGACAATGTGGGTCAGTGGCTCAACTATGTGTGGTACAGCTTGCTTAAGTAAAAATAGAGGCACATTGTCATATGAGGCCTTGTCATTCTTGAGCGTTTCGACATACATTAGGATATCAGTTTCATTTATTTCTTGGAATCTATCAAATGAGATATTAGAAGTTCTAGGAGGTAAAAAATCAGTAAAACTAACTCTTTCAATATTGGGGGCCTGATTTTGTAATCTTGATCCAACATTTGCAAAATGAAAGTTAAATAGCTCAGGATCATTCTCATTGATAGTTTGACAATTAGTTGTACCAGGGGTCATATTTGATGCCAGTTTGATAGTTTTCCATATCCCTTTAAGATCATTCTTGGCACTTTTAACTTGTAGATCATCGATTACATTAGCCTTTTTGCAGGTTTTAGCTAATTTATTTCTAATATTTCTCTGAATCTTGTAGCAATCCCAGGCCTCATTACACTTTATACATTTGCTACATGTACCACATTTATTGCAATTTCCATTGTCTCTCTTATCCTTCTTTTTACGGAATTTCTTTAGAAGAAAATGTGTATGATTAATGGCATATAAAAGTTCAGTAGAAGGTTTATGTATGAACTTTTCATGCCTTTCTATGGTCTTGCAAGGGAAGAAGGTTGCATATGCCTGTTCAATATGATGACAAAGGCCAGCTGTGATAGCTTCAACATCTGTACTTTCCAATAGTGGACTGTAATCAGAACAGGTGTCTAGATAGTCTAAGAATTGTTTAACATTACGTTTACAATGATTTCTAATTTCAACCTTCTCAAATTTAGGAGCTATAGGTACTTTACAATCTATCTCACACATAATAGCTTGATGATCTCCAATACGTTCATCAAGAACATAATTAGAAGATTGGACAAAATCTGCATAACAGTTAGTGAATATTACATCAATAGTAGTCTGGGTAACATTGTCTCCACGTTTAGCAACTCTAGTTATCCCTTGAATGGTTTGAACTAGATTGTAACATCTCAAGGTCATATCTAATTTTTTGTACTGGGTGGATGAGATATTATTCTGGTCAATGTTTATATCCCCAATCCAGATAACCTTTTTCCCATTCAATTTTTTCATGCAAAAATGAATGTATTCAATAAAGTTATCAACACTGCAATAATTTCCAGAGCGATAGAAGCAGCAAACATTGATCTTGCTATTCTTAAGCTTCACCCATAATGCTTCAATGTTATCAAGCTTACTATCCATAACTAATTCTGTGTAAGCTAGTTTTTTGTTTATCATTAAGCCACAACCACCCCTAGAACTGTTTGGCCTGTCGCATCGCATAAGGTTGAAGGAGGAAGGAATATTTATGGTGTGTGTGTCAATAGTATCATTAAGATTCATCTCATTTAGGGAAAGTATGTCTAATTTATGATCTCTAATAAGTTGGGAAAGTTCATTACTTTTAGCTAAATTGAGAAGCCCTCCTTGAATGTTACAATGACCAATGCAGAGGTTGTGAAACCTATCAGCTGCATTATTAAAATTTGTCATCTTGTGAATCTTATTAATTCACAATGGAATGAATAAAAGTTGTAAAGTTGTGTTTAAACTAAAAAACAGAATAAAAGCAGGTTGTATTTGTCTGGATGTCGTACTGTAAAAATAAAACTGATGGTAGGAGTGTTATGTCAGTATTCAGCAGTATTCTAATGGTGTGCATGATACTTCAAGTGCCTTGCTAATTTAACTATGCCATAATCATTGAGATGGACATTATCCTCTCCATAACTACTAAAAATGACGATTTTCTAAAGCCTTTCTTATCACTAAACAAGAAACGATTTGTCTCGGTTGAGAGCAGTTTTACATAGGTGTATTTTCTTTGCAGATTTGATATACACTCATTGATATCAGTTATAACCTTGTTTCTGGAGAAACTCTCCCGAGGTAATAAGTTAACAATTTTAATATCAGCTCCAGGTGCCCACTTGTGAAGGAAAAGTACAAGTTTTTCAATACAATTGTTTGTAAAGTCAAGAGCTCTAGCATCACCAGAAAAACTATCAGGGCACAGAAGTTTAGTCCTCATGTTGCGAGGGCTGTTCAGGATAGAGTCCACGTCATTTGTACCACACATAAGTACAATGCTTTTCACATTATTGGTATTAAGAGTGTCTTTTCTTACATCTGATTGAAACCGTTCATTGATTGCATTGGCTGTGGCACCAGGGTAGCTGAATACATGTGCCTCATGATGTTTGGACGATAGCTTTTCTCCCTCTAATTTGGAGAACATACTAGAGCTAATGTAGACACACAAAGATTTACCAGAATGTTCTATTGATCTAGTCTTAGGGGCCGAGGGTTCAGTGTTCTTAACTTGACTGGAAACATCAGACAGAGTAGATAAGGTTGCGCTGCCATCAATTAGGCGCAGAGTAATGCTTATTCTCATGGTTTCAGACTTGTCCTGGATGAGGCTGTGTTCAAAGCTGGTCTGGGATTGTCTGGTCATATTCATTATGTCACCATGGGAGAGGGTGAGGTCAGCAATATGAGCTCTAAGTTTGGATCTGAAGCTTAGGACTCTAGTAGCCCCTAAAGAGATGGTGGAGATCATGGAGCCTGGTGAAATTGACCTCTCGTCATCCGAGTGAAAGGGAATTCCTTGCTGACCATTTCTATACTTGGTAATCATAGGACTATTGAATTTCAATTTTGGGAACTGTGAGCGTAAGCGTTCTAGAATAGACTTTAGGTATGGATTGTCTGCTACTGGCCTTGTGTTATGAAAGCCTCCATTGTAAGCGTAGGGAAAGTCCCCGTAATATGCAACTGCCCTATTCTCAAACTTATGAGTATAGTGGGTTTCTATATCTAACTTGGCAGTGTCAACAAACTGAAAAACTCCTCGACTCAAATCTTGGTATGGATTGATAGAGTTGCTCACATCATTGTCACCATTTACAGAGTGTTTGGGATTTTCCAAATTGATAATTTCTGCTGAATGTTCACTGTCTTCTGCTAATTTGGATAGCTCTTGGGTTAACTCAGAAACAAGATGCGAGGATGACCTATTACTGAGGGGAACATTGATAGACTGTTCACAGTGATCAGGTACCTGGGGCAACACAGGGATAAGTGAACCATCGCTGAGGGGAACTTTGAGTGCACTGTCACTTTCTGATAATTGTTTATAGAGAAAAGAAATTTGCCGACGAAGACTATCATTCTCTCTTAATAGAGTTAAACAATTTGAACATTTATCAGTAGGACAAGAGCCGTTGCTGGGGAATTTAACAGAATTCCCTCGATATCTCAGATTGTAATGTCTTGAGCCAACTGGTATTCTAGATATAGTTTATCACAAAAAGATGCTACTGTTCGAAATTTAGTTAATGATTACAGTACCTTTGTAGCACTCCGGAGGATAAGGATAAGTGATGTCTGATAATCTTTAGGTGATAGATGGGAGTAAACTGCTTTAAAAACCGATGTCTGATAGTCCTTAGGATGTCTTTAAGATAACTTTATCGTGCAACAACCATTTACATTGACATACAACCTGTAATGGTCGTTACATTTACCGAGGCATTAGTTCCCACTGGGGGTCCTCAATAAATGTATTTAATTGTAGTTGTGAAAATAGTTTAAAACTGCCATGTAATGGGGCAAGATTTTCCTGTAAGCGAAACAAGGAAAATTATGAAGCCTCCCTGAGAGCTACCATCCTTCAAGGTTCCATACGATGCATCACAGAAAACCACTAAGACTGACTCAGGCAACAGTAGTTTCTTAAACCTGAGTGTTAGAGGATTCTTTTCTAAGAACTTTACTGTTTTGTTTACCATTTTCAAATCTGCGATGGTCCCTTCAGTCACAGAATTACTAGCAAAACATGTAGCATAAGCTACATCTGGCCGTGTCTGTGTTGATACCCACAACAACTGTCCGCACACAGTTCTCAGTTGTTGCTTTTCTTTCTCGTTGATTGGGAGCGTATTTCGATTCACTCGGGTGGGGTCGATCTCTATTCTTGAAATCTGGTCTGCATACCCCAGTTGTGATACCAGAATTCCAGATTGTGTTTGCTTTACATCAAGACCAGTATAAGCAAATTCAACTTCGACCTCCGTACTTAGACGAAACTTCTTCTTCAGTTCCCCAATAACTTCCCTTTCAAACTTCTTGCTTCCACTGAACATCAGATCGTCAACATGCACAGCAATGATACCCTCGAGTTTTCCTTCATCATACCAGAACATGAATGACTCATCATATGACGATACCACAACATTTAACTTCACTAGAGTATCACGAAGCTCAACATACCACATTCTAGGTCCGTCTACTAACCCGTAAATACATTTGTTCAGTTTCCAGATTTTTCTCGTTTCAGCTTCCTTCGGAGGAATAATGAAGACATCTCTTGAAATCTTCTTGCCTTGCAAGAAGGCAGCCTGAACATCGATGTGTTGTAACTTCCAACTTTCTGTTGCAACTATTGTAAGGAGCACTAGCAGTCTTATAGAGTCCCTGTTACATGTTGGGGAGTCCTTTCGTATGTTGCTACTATTTTCTTGATAACCAAGTGCCACTAAACGAGCTTTAACAGAACCTTCTGCTTTCTTTGTAATTACCCAACGAACACCAACATTGGACTGTTCGTTTGCATCAACTTCCACGTAAACCTTGTTTACTTTGAACTTCTCAAGCTCTGCTAGCTTGGCATCTACAACTGCTTGGTCATACATACTCACACTGGACAGCAACACCTCTTCTTCTGTTTCTGGTGACAGGTCATCTCTCCAATTCACAGCAAGCTCATACCAATCCACACATTGGATGCTCTCCTCACCATCAAGTTGAATATTTACACAGTTTTTGTAACTGCCAGTTGATTTTCCCGCACGGCTATGGATATAAGCTTTATGCCAGATCTCACCATCCTCCTCTGGATACTTTGGAAGAAACTCCACGTGACTTCTTGCTTTAGGAAGTCCTGATTTGTGCTGAGGTCTGATTGTTGCTGTTGTCTCACTTTGAGGCAGTGTTTCTGTTTCTGGTACAGAAACTGCTGTTTCCATAGAGCAAGATGGTTGATCCTCTAGGAAATTTCTCTGCGTCTCTAATGGGGATTTTGGTGAACTTGATACAATACTCGGGTTAGGTTGCCCAACAACTGACTCTGAGGTAATGGGATATCCTGTTGTTGTATCCCTGGTTAGATGACATGCACTGCACTTATAATACTGATTTCCATGCTTTAAAATATATAAATGAGTAATGTCTCTCCCCAGTATAACACCTGGCCCACTCCATTTTGCAGATCCTTTTCTCTTGTACATCACCTTTTCACCGTTGCTATAATACTCATCATTGCTTGTCCGAACTTGGCTTTGCAGAGCTCTACGTATCTTGTTGCTACTTTCACACTTTGCAAATGCTTGCCTTGCACTGTGCATTGCATTAACATTATCAGCCACGGTTTTACTCACTGTTGTTTCTTCTAAAGCTGGCAGTCTATCATCGATGACATTCGGAAGTGAAGGGTTACGGCCCATTGTCAACTGATTTGCAGAAAACCCACCAAACATCTGCATGGAGTTTTTCGCACTTAGTGCTTAACACAATGCAACTTCCCAGTTGCATTTTGAATCTTCCTTAGTTTTTACCATCATCTCTGTCAGCATCTTATGATGACGTTCTACAATCCCATTGCTCCAAGGGCTCTCGGCAGCTGAATTTTGCACATCCACATTGAATCTTTGACACATCTCAGTAAACTCCTCATTGGCGAACTCTCCACCATTATCAGCCATGAATTTCTTTGGATTTCCAAAGATGGATATCCATCCAGAGCAAATTCCTTGGATGATTGTCTCTTTCTTCTTATTGTAGATTATTCTAGCTGCTGAATATCTTGTCACCGAATCAATCATATGCAAGATATACACATTAGGAGTGCCAGGAACATTCTTAAGGTCCATTGCAACACATTCGTTGAACACCTTTCCTCTTGGGAGACCCACCACTGGTCTTGACTTGGGTTTCTTGTACATCAGACATATTTTACAACTGCTGGATACCTCATCAATTGCTTTCATGTATTCTGGTCTCTTAAATCCTGCAGTTTTCAGCAATGTTTTCAGTTTATCACTAGGAGGGTGTGAGAATTGTTTGTGGATTTTTTCCACTTTCCTCCTAATCTCCTTTTCGTCAGTACCAAACAAACCTTCTTCGCTGATTGTCATCACCAGATGTGGGGTCTTTCGATCTGGCGGCCCAATGGTCATGCGTCTTTTATTACAAAGAGGAACGCAATAGTGCTTTGATTTAGTTTCAAACAAATCAACACAATCTCCACTGAATCTCATTGTATCATTTGTGAAATCCAACACAGCACCAGCTCTCTTTAACGATGCTTTACTGAGAAGCAACGGCAGTTCTTTCTCAACAATGTTTGCTTCTATCCGAACATCTGTCTTTCCTATTCGCCCAGTGATGATAGTCTTTTCTGTGGAAATGACTTCGAGTCCATCCCCAAATCTAAAAGGCGTCGAGCAAGGTTCACTAACCATCATTTTCAGTTGTTTTTCTTCCAGAGTTTCTCTGTAGTGATTCACCCAGTTCCTACCAACAACTGTCTTTGTACATCCGGAATCAATAACTGCACATGCTAATGACTCATATACAAGAGAACCAAGGTTCGTATCACTCATCAGGCACTCTTCAGGAATCTCAACAACATCTTCAGATTCAGACACCACCATGAATGTTAAGAATGCACCCTCTGCTTCCATGGCCGTAACATTCTCAGCACCATCTTGTGCGAAATACTGTGCATTATCTGTTGAACTTGAAGAAGCTCTGTTCTTGCTTGTGCACCATCTTGCAATATGGTTTTTATCGCCACAAGCATAGCATCCAGTATACGCACTCTTTTGTCGATTATACGGATGATGATGATTCCCACGTCCTCTTGACATCCTTCTGTAGTTTCCTCGTCCACCTCTTGGGGTTGAGTTGTATGTATAGTTACATTCCTCATGTTCCACCTTCACTGATATTGACGCAGGCGGTGTGGAAAGGTTCGATTGGACGGAGAAGATTTTCCCGATCGTTTCACACATATCTTTATAAGTAAGATCCTTTACAGTTGCCAAAGCGAGATCATATTTTTCTGACGGAAGGTTAGCGCTGTTAAGGAATCTGTAGGCCAGGACTGCTTCAGGAAGAGTGATTTTGTGTCTCCTGAGATCCGCTAGCAACTTCTCAAACTCAGATATGTAACTCTGTAGAGACAACCCTTCTGGTCTCACATATTTTTCAAACTTACCGTAAACTCGGTAACAGGTTTGAGCTGAGTCCTCTAAATAGATTTTGTCAAGATGACTTAAAATCTTCGCTATTGCATCCTCTGCAATTAGGACATCTTTCCCCAATGATCGTACTGTATCCTTTATCTTCCCTTGTTTCAATTCTAAGAGCAACGCATTTCCTTGTCTCTTTTTCTCTAAACCCGTGAACTCTTGCCACAGCTGCAGGTCTAACTTCCAATTGCAGTAGTCCTGATCCTCACTGTATGCCGGTGGGGCTTTGTAATTACTAGTTACTCTAACTGTCTCTGGGGGTGCCATTGCGTCCTTCTCTGCTACCACTTGTTAACTTTAAATGGATCACTATGCAATGAAACACACCAGTTGTTACAAGTAATTATCAAACCCCACAGACAACATGTTTGTGGTACATTCTGAAATAGAACACAATTAGTATATATTATATCGACTATCATAAATATATAAACCAAATATATAGCAATTCACAATAAGTTCTTCAAGAAATTAGCGGTAAAACTTTCTAGGAAATCAGGTCAACGATATAGTGAGGCAATGACATTTATTAGGAAGAGAGTAAGATTTGACCTTTTGAGAACAACAGTCATAGCTCTTAGAGGAGAGAGAGGGTTAAAAAGTAGTAGTGCAGTAAAAATAGAAGAATTAGATATAAATTTGGAGCCAGTTCTTTAAACTGGCTTACTTAAAGGGTGTTTATAAATTTTATGTAGTTTTCTATTGCATTTATATTGAATTTCAAATCCACCCTTGTTGATAAAAAATTTGTTTTAGTGTAAATCGATTAAAGTTTGAGTTTGCGTACACAAGTCGGTGGTGATGTTACGGAGCCACAGTGGCCCAAGATAAACAATTGCATAATCTTAAGATCGATGGTAGACATGTTCACATGAAATTATGTTAAGTGGATGACTGTTCAAAAGCGGATCGTCTCGAGATATGTCGTTCCACGTGTACACAATTACCATAATTGATAATACAAATAATTAATTAATGTTATTTTTATACAGCACCAAAAGGTTAAATATTTTAAATTGAACCTTCAATCTTAACATTATTTTCTGATTGAATTAAATTCCTACACTTGTTTTGCTTTCGTTGAGCTCGGATTCAGATGTGAAATCGTTTTTAGTCTCCATTTCTAAACGAGATTCTGGATACTTAACTCATTTATTGCTACCAGTTGTTCATTGAACTGGAAAGCGTCTGTTTGTGACCTCAGTAAACTATTTGGTACATTTTCTTATTATCCTTTCCGCAATGTGTAATAGTGTTGTGTAGTGTAACGTT